AAATTAAATTTAACGGCAAATTGAAAAGATGGCAGAGGAGAGAGTCCTATCTGGAAGTGGACCGATTCTTCTGCCTCTTTTTCCCCCACTCTCCGCCACTGCCCCTCCCCCACGCTGCACGCTTAAAAGCCCCACGTTTGCGAAGGGCTTCAGACTCCAAAGAAATTGCTCCTTGCTGCCGTAATTCCTGAAAAGTAAACAAGCGGCCGTTTGGCTCTGATTTCACAGTGAGATCAGCCGCACCTCCATGTCTGGGGGCGTCACGCGTCGCAGTTACGCTTCCTTCCTGCTCCTCTGACGGCAGTGAAAACACCAAGATCCTCTTATCTAAGGCTAGTTAAAGGTATCACTCCCGGCACTAAGAACGACCCAGTCACTGAGCCGGGACAGTTTCAGGCCAGCGTACCCATGTCTTTATTGGTCTGTGGGTAAAGGGGGTGGGCGGAGCTTACTTGTACGGGGCGGAGCTTACCGGTACTGTCGTTGTGCCGGTGAGGGACGGCGTGCTGTTGTCGGTGCCCGGCGGCTCGCTGTGCGTCTGTGTGGGCGTGTAGATGGTCATGGCGTGGTCGGGCACCGTGCTCTGGCCCGTGTAGTCCTGGGCGGGGTGTGGGTGTGGTGCCGCGTACTCCGCCGGGATCCCGTTCTGCGGCGGAGGGGGGAACTGGGCGGGCGGGTACGGCTGAGCCATCGCTTCCGGGGGGGCTGTGGCCTCCTGGTTACCCTGCAGGGGAACAGGAAGAGGGCAGAGTCTGAGGCACGTTCCGGAACATAGAGGCCGGCAGGTGTGAGGGCCGGGAAGCGGAGTGAGAAACATCATGGTGGACTACGAGTATCGATCCGCCAGCGCTCCGGGAAGAACCCTTCAGACTAATGAAATGAAACGATCCCCAGGGGTATCGGCAGGAGCCTCTTCTGGCTGCTATCTGAGCGAGCATCGCCTCTCTCCGTGGCGCCGAAAGACCCAGCCCTCCGTTCAGATACGCTGTCTGTGTGCGTATTATCACCCGCCGGCCGCTGCAGCTATTGTGCTAATCCACGGGCTCCAGTGCCACAGATAACAGCGTAAGCCTGAGCATCGGCAGTCGACGGGTAAAGCCAAACTTACCGTAGTGCCTCACTAACTTAGGCACCGCTAGCAAAATTTACGAGGTTGTTTCAGCACAAGGCGGCCAAATAAAAACAAGTTCCAGGTCTTTGTGGGGGAACGGGAGATTCGTGGGGAAGCAGCCTAATCCTGTGGCCAGTGTGGGGGGCTCGGTCGGGAAGAGGCGGTCCCGTCGGCGGTGTCAGAGGCCCCTGACGGCCACGCTGGTCGGCGGTGTCGGGTTTCCCTCTGACACTCACCTCGTGTCCCCCAAATCTGCACTATATAATTAGGCTTTATAATTAGACAGTGAACCGGTACGCTCAGCTAGTTTGCCACGAGTGGCAGGAACATTCTGCTAGCTGAGCAAAGAACAGGCAATTACTGCGCACATATTTAACCGGCTTCTACTTCTTTTTTTCTAATTTGCTGCAGCACAAAATAGCTTAAGATAAAAAGTATTCCCCTACCAAATATATATATACACATACATATCTCTCACTGGATTACATAACACGCATGTAGTAAGCGGTGCTCGTCTGCGGCCACTAAGGATGGCGCTATGGAGGGGATGGCAGCATGATGTATGCTCTGCTGGCGTTCGCCATCGAGTAGCTGGTCGTCATGTCGGGGGAATGGGGGGAGGTTAGACTGTTGCCATCCCATCGGAGAACAGCCCCCGAACGCCTCCGCCAATGCACGATGAAATGGACTAAATAATGAGGGAGGGGGGCCAGCTGAGAGTGGACAATAAATATAGATGACAGAGAAATATGTGTGTGTGTGTGCGCGTGGGGGGGGGGGGGCAGCAAATCCCCCACAGGGAGGTGATTTCCGAACGCTGTGCTCGTCAGCACAGATGCTGACTGATATACATCAGTGCAAAGACACGCGCGCGAGTCACAATCAGTGTGAGTGGGATTTACCCAGCAGGAGTGCAGTCTTTAGCAGAAACCCCTCTAACAGCTACTCAGCTTTGTGTAATATGCCTCTGTTGTGTCCCGGAGCACAGACAGAAGGTACGAGATAACAGGCTTTGAAATGAATTTCAAGTTAATTCAGTGCTTCAAAGTAAAAATTTGTCAAGCGTGTGACAGTTAACTGGAACTATTTTTTCTTTTGGAGTGGGGGGGGGGGCATTCCTCCGCCCCGCCCCCCCCTCCTTCTTTGGTGGTGAATATTAACGCTGTCCTGCACAAGAAACAGCTTGGGGAGAGGGGCTATCATATCACGTTTCAGGGCAGATTAGAGAATTGCTTGATCATTATTAGGCCAACACGCTTTATTTTGTAGAACATCGCTCGATAGCTTCATGGGGCTGGAACGAGAAGAATCTAAATTGCTCTCTTGGCAAGCGCCGGGCAAGAGATCAATTAACTGATAAATTTTTGATTATAACCTTTGATTTAAATTACAGGTTTCTAATACTAGCAGCTGTTTCCCTTATGTGGGTTTTTCTTCTCTTTACAATCCCTGTCTCCTTCACTCTAGATGTCAAGGGGGAAATGAGAGCCCCCCCCCCCCACACACACACACACACCACAGCCCTCCCCTCCTGTGGTCAGTGGCGGATTCCGCGCACTCCATCTGACAGCGTCCCATCGCTCAGACAGTTTGATTTTCTCTTGTGGGGGGGCTGACGGTTACTGACACTCCGCAAACTCTGGGGTCGGTTCCGCTGTCGGCGTGTGATTGTGGGGGCGCGGCAAGGGGCCGGGAGCTGGTGTTTATGGAAGGGGGGGTGGACGGGGGGGGCACAGACGAGAGACGTGGCTGCTCCATTGGGGGGTTTATTTGAGGATATTAATCTAACACAAACATGGGCCTGCCATTCCAGCATGAAGTGTGACCCTTGGCCAAGGAGCCCAGGTATAAGAAGGCAATAATCCCCAGTCATGGGGGGGATGGACTTTTAATTTTATCATCCAGAAGCCAAGAGCTGCACAGACCACTTAGATCTGAGGAAGCTGGGGGACGTGTGACAGGTCTACAGGCAACTCAGTTTACTGTCCCTGCGCCAGGGTGCAGAGCACTGCCGGGGCCCAGCGCACTGCCAAGGCCCAGCGCACTGCCGGGGCCCAGCGCACTGCCAAGGCCCAGATCCCTGCCGGGGCCCAGATCACTGCCGGGACCCAGCGCACTGCCAAGGCCCAGAGCACTGCCGGGGCCCAGAGCACTGCCGTAGCCCAGAGCACTGCCAAGGCCCAGAGCACTGCCGGGGCCTAGCGCACTGCTGGAGCCCAGCGCACTGCCAAGGCCCAGCGCACTACCGGGGCCCAATGCATTTCTGGAGCCCAGCGCACTGCCAAGGCCCAGCGCACTGCCGGGGCCCAGCACACTGCCAAGGCCCAGATCACTGCCAAGGCCCAGCGCACTGCCGGGGCCCAGCACACTGNCCCAGCGCACTGCCGGGGCCCAGCACACTGCCAAGGCCCAGATCACTGCCAAGGCCCAGCGCACTGCCGGGGCCCAGCACACTGCCAAGGCCCAGCGCACTGCCGGCGCCCAGCACACTGCCAAGGCCCAGATCACTGCCGGGGCCCAGCACACTGCCGGGGCCCAGCGCACTGCTGGAGCCCAGAGCACTGCCAAGGCCCAGAGCACTGCTGGGGCCCAGCACACTGCCGGGACCCCGGTCAGGAATCCGACTTCAGCAGCATTGCATGGACTGGCATTAACACATAGATAAGTACCCACCATTACATAAACATTTGACAGAAGGTGCGGCGGTTTATTAGAAACTGACCTAAATGGGGCCCCTGCAATCACTGTCCTGCTGTTCTATTGGCCTGTGGTCATGTGATGGAAATGGTTTCACCCTGGAATGCATCACACTTTGCTGGAGTAGCCCAGAGGTGGTCACACCTGACCTGGTATTGGTTAAAAGCATAGCCAATAACAGGCGTCGCGTGGAAAAAGCCCGCCCACGTCCACTCTCACATACCTGCTAGAATTCAGCCCGATAGGAATCCAGACCTGCACACCTCAGCATTCATTCAACGACCATCACCATTCAAAGACTTGCAATCGATGTACTCCACAGACACAGACCCGGCTCGGTTACAGTGCTCCGCGGGACCCAGTACTGTGCAGAATAAAACCCGACTCACTTTAACTTCACATGAAAGTGATCTCTAGGAAATAACAAAACCTCTGTGTTTTCGTGCGGTGGAAAAGAAAAGTTTGAAAGTCTATATTTGTGTAGTAAACACTGACATTTCTAGGTGTGGTGATGTCATTCAGAAATAGCTCACTGTCCTGAAAACAGGGTCCAGTATTTTTCACAGACAATTATCCAGAAACAACGCCAATCTCATTTCTCCAGCTGCTGGAGTCATTTACAACTGCTATTTGAGACAAAACAGGACATAAAATCAAGTCAAAACCAAATTTTTATGCAATTATGATAGGAATCGGACACGATTACGATACCAATGTGAACAGAGTGGATAATTAGGAAACACCACAAAAAATACCCCTTTAAATAGCTAAGAAGGCTGCAAAGTAGAACTAAGGAAAAAAAAACTTATATGAAGTAGTTTATCTGTTATCCTTTCATCTCCTGCTGAAAGACGCGGCATGTGGAGGGTGAGAGGAAATAAGACATTTCTCACTATGTTATTGTTATTGGCATTTTGCAGCGACTAAGCGGCATTAGCTTTCATGCTGCACCATCAACGGACTAGAAAGAGCTTCTGTTTAATAAGAGTGCAGAGAATTGCATTAATGTAAATGTAGTGGAAACGATGAGAGGCACAGCCATTGACATGTTGGCAAACAAATGAGACTGTCCTCTCAATTAAGGAAATGCTCCATTATCCAAATGAAAAAGCACTCTGCCGTTGCAGTCCAGGAGCCGGACAGGCTTGGGGAGAGAGAGCTGGGCCGCTGGGGCCGTGCCGGGTCCCAGGGCCCCGATCACAGGCTGGGTGACCCCCCCCCACCCCAACTGGCAGCGACCTGCCTCCAAGTCATCAGCATGCCGCCCCCCCCTCCCCCAAGTGCCCCACCCCCC